GTCTGGATGATCTCCTGAACAAGCTGAAGATTTATGGAGCATTCGTGCCACCAGCCTTCCATTTGATGCAAAACCCAATAAAAGCCTCATCCAACACCTTTTGCTATTTCTTCATTGGATCTGCCACCAGCCACCAATTTTAAAAGAGAATTTACCAAACCTTTGAATTTATAAGCTTCTTTATAAAACAATTCCCCACTCCATCTGCAACTCTAATCTATGATTTGCTCTCAACGTCATCACGTGAAATTAGATATTGTACAAACATCTGACCAGCAGCCATTTTTGACTTTGATGATGTAAGCATTTTGTTGGGAATATATATGCAATCAAGCACTTAGGAATTTTAGAGAGTTTCCAGGGTCTGTCTCTGTAAGAAGGTAATGTACTCATTGAAAGCCAGAACCTTTTTTTTTTCTTTCTTAGTGCCCCAAATAATGCTGGGGCACAGGCACTCTGGTTAATTTATTATGTACATTAGTGATGCAAGAGATTTTCTCACTGTAAACAAGGTCAATCAAGAAAAATGTGTTATCTTCCTATAGTAAATATTTGAGAGTCAACAATTTACTATGACTGTTAAGTGGAGTTTGCTATCTTAGCTTTGAATTGTATATGAAATATGCTTTTAAATAGTATAAACACTGCCACCATACATTAACCTTTCTAAATAGTTGAAAATAGTTTTTTAAAAATATTTCTCTAGAATTAATTAAAACGAACATTTTTTAAATTGTTATGAACAGATTTAAAAAATTTAAATCTTTTAAGAACAAAGGAGACTTCAAGAGCATGTAATATACAGTTCTCATGTAGGAAGGCAAATTATATTAAATAATTTAATTGGAAAATGAATATTTAAATTTATTTCCTGCAGCATGACTTAGCAAGGTCTAGAATTGTATATTTTTTGCCTAGTGAGCAGAAATTTTTCTTCATGATGAATTCATTTACTCCCTACATGTGTTATTTTGTATTTTTGTAGTTAATTGAATTAATAACATTAGTCAACATTAGTCATAAAATCCAGGTCATTTCATGATTAAATAATATTGTACTTATAATTCCTTCTAAACACGAGTTTTAGTTGAATCTCTTTAATGACAAAGTTATCAAAAATTTACTATAATATTTTCTGCAACTTTTAAAGAATTGATCACGAGGCAAAGCTGCCACCTTCTGGCTAAGATTTATTACTTCACTTTAGAATTCAAACTCTTTTTTTCATTCACTACGGCATAGGATGCAATACAATTTGAAACAATCCTACATAGACTTTTGAGATTTCCTAGGTTGTAGGCTTGAGATGTGGCTCAGTGGTAGAGTGCTTTCCTAGCATGCACGAGGCCCTGGTGTTCAGTCCAGGCACTGACTGGCACTGCCAATAAAAATATTTTTTAAATGAGATTTCTTTTTTATAGGTTGTTACAACCTAAAAAAATTGGAGCTTGGAAGTTCTAACAGTCATTTCCACAAAGCCATTAATAACAAGTCTATAGCTGCATATTTTTGAGTGATAGAAGAGCTTTAAACTAAACTGCCTTACTTTTGGGCTGTTATGAGCCAAGCTGTAGCTGAGAGTTTCCTGAGAGTGGTGAACCTGCTGCATTATTGTCCTCCTGTCTTTTCATTTTCTGAGCACAATTTCACAAATGCTGGTAATGCTGCTCTGTACCCTTCAGGGACCCCAGCCTCAGGCTGTCTCCTATCCCTTTGGCTGACCCTGAGCCCCACCCTGGAGTCATCCATCACTGAGGCTATCATTAGCTCATTGCTACAGTGACACAGTCATGCATTCTGACCATGGGGACGCTTCAAATCTGAAGAGTCCCCATTGAGGGCTGCTTTACTCCTGAAGACCTGTGTGGCAATTCCCTACAATCTGTTTCCTCCTTTGTAAAGTGAGGCTAATCTGTTGCCAGTTGTTTTGAGCATTAAGTTAGGTAATGCATGAAAAGCATTCACTCTATTATTATTTGTGAGTCTTTTAATATTATACTCTACATGTCTGTCTTTAGTAGTTAGAAGATTCACTCAGATATGACAATATGACGTTTTCTCCTATCTATATTGACAAATCCATTTTTTATCCCTGTTTCTTCCCCTCTTGTACTTTGAAGGCCCCCTTTGTTGACAGAATTTGTAATTCCTTGGACTAGGGAAATAACTGAATCACCATTAACATGACAGACAGCATCTGGAGGCTGGAGAGATGTTCCCCAGGGCCCTCCCAACATTTAAATCTTCTCTGGCTTTGCTCATTAAGCCTAACTTTGTATTTGCTAGAAAAAGAGGATAATGATGATGACTATTTCAGTAAACAAGAGCAAGTGAGGCAATTAGTTCAATAAATGTTAATTAAGTGCCAACTACATGCAGTTACCCTGAGAATACAAGATCAGGAAAAGAGTCCCAGTCCAGAGCTACAAAAATCTCCTCATTCTTTTAATCCCAGTTATGAGGCACCATTCCTAGGTACTATATAATGTCACATTCGGATTACCCAAGTTTGTTTGTTTTATGTTTTTGGTCTTCTAAGCTTCAAGGGCCTGAAATTTTTCATAATTTCCTTCTTTCCTCAGAAGAGTTGAGCCTATAGATCTGCAGGATGAGTCTCTGGCTATCCCAAATGAACGGTGTTCACTGTATAAATTAAGCATTCGGGAAAATGTTCATCTTTTTAAATGCAGTGTTTAGCAAGTGCTTGCTTCATGGAAAGTGTTCCATAAACACGTTTTAATTATTGAAAAAGATTTTCAAGTTGTCAGGGTACCATTTAATTTCAACATACTTAGTAATTTAAGTGTGGGGACAGCTGACAGGATGTGCATAATGTGGTATTCCTGGGAATAAGGAGAAGGTAGAGCAATATCTTGGAAAAGAGGCTGACACCTGAACTTGCATCTGCACCTCCTCTTCTCAGACCTGAGCCCCTGGGAACCCGCAATAAGCACAGGGCGGGGAGGTGGGGGTTGAAGCATTTAGGGAGAGATGTTTATAACTTTTAGTTTTGCTTATGACAGAATCACTGTTTTCCTTTGAGTTAATTAGTAAAAATATATGAGGACAAGTTTTCATCATATCAATGACCCAGAGGCATGCTGGTTGATATTTCTCATATAGGTCACCAGGAATGACGTTTATGCCTCTGTGCAATTCTTTTCCTTCCCTTCTCTGTTGACCCACTCTGGTCAGATTTCCAAATGCCCTCTCCTGGCCCAAACCTCTTTATTTCTAGGTCACCAGTAACTTCTGCATTGCGTGATCCAGTGGATCAATTCTTGGTCCACAGTTAGACTGGGTGGCGGTGCCTGCCTGGCTCTGTTGGTCCTTCTTCCTGTTTGCTGCCCTCCCTTCCCTGGCTCCCAGAGTTCCATACTCTCCTGGCACTTTCTATCTGATAGCTCCTCTTCAACCTACTTGGGCTCTTCTTTCTCTCAGCCTGTCCCTGTTGGCCTAGAGCTGAGACTGGAAATGGATGTTGCAGATGTCCTTATTTAATATGGAGTCCCTAATCCAAGAGGACTGCTGTCCTTGGAAAAGGGAGATATGGAGGCAGACATGCACTCAGGGAGGAGGCCCTGGGAGAAGTGGAATTCTGCTGCCGGAAGCCCGAGGACAAGCAGAAGCCAGCATGGGCCCTGAAACAGATCCATTTCTGCACCTTCAGTGGAGGTTACTGGTGACCTGGGAAAAAGCAGTCTGTTCTTGTTTGGACTTCTAGATTCCAGAACTTGGAAATAATAAATTTCTGTGGTTTCAACCACTCAGTGTATAGTACGTTGTTGATGTTGAAGAAATCTTTTTTTTTCTATTTTGGCTTAATGAAACTTTATTAAATTTAACTTGTCTAATATCTTTAACAGATTGGCCTCAGAAACAGGGTCCAAAGTAGACCTCCAGTATCCTCAGATGCTCTGGGTCATTAACCAAAGGTCCTTGCCAGGGCCCACTATGTCCACTGGTTCTTGCAGCTATTAGAATTTGGGGACAGGTTGTCTCAGATTTGAGCTCCAATAATTTGTGTTTTTAGCTCTGAGTGTATCTGAGCAATTCTTAGACAGGACTAGGTTCGGGATCAAACTGGATCCAAAAATTTACTGAATTGAATCCAGTCAAGGGCATTGGGTAGGTGTCTTTTTGATAACAGGCTTGTTTCAATACATGAAGTCTGGGATTCCACCTTGTGGGACTCCAGCTAATTTTGCACATAAGAGCAAAGTACTCAGAATCTGTGTATTTTTGGAAAAATTGTGTCAGCCTTTCTGGAGAAAACTTAGACTTAAAAGGGCCACCAAAGAGAAGTTTTAATTAAATAAAATTATTTACTTGCAGGGCATATTAGAAAAGAGGGATGGAATCCTCACAAAAAGCAGTAGAATACATTTTTAATTGCTATGCAGAAGCATCTAAAAGATTAAATGGGTTAAAGATTGCCTTCCTAAAATTTTCTTACAGAGGCAAATGAAAAGTTTAAGGACCAAGACTGCACCTTGACTGAATTAACCCCGACATCTCATTCTCTCTGTCAATCTTTACGAAATGCTCTGTGTCCACTAACCGTCCTGCTCCATTACCTTTGCACTCTGAAGATCAAGAAAAAGGGGGGAAGTTAGACAAAAATGCCTTAAGGAGGGAGAGCTCTGACCAGCCAGAATTTCCTGCTATTGCTGCATTTACTTCTTGGTCTAATGAGCTTAAAGCTGAAAGCCCTTGTTTAAAAGGCCTTCTCTAAACTGAGGGAAAATCCTTGAAAATTTACCAAGGGGTTGAGAATCCTCATAAGAGCTTACAAGACAGGACTCCCTGACCTTTGCCAATTGAGTCACAGGACAGTAGGAGCCTGCAGACCAGAGGGAGCCTGAGGAGGAGTCTGTGAATGATTCTCCCAATTCTCCTCACAGGATAGGTCAAAAGAACTGCTGAAAACCTTTAAAGTTGAATCCCCAAGGCTTTTTGGTTAATTATACAGTTTCAAAGAAAACACACAAACTCTGATGAACCAGTTTCAGATTATAGAGTTTATTAGGAAATAGTACTTGTAAAACAATCCAATCTGGAAATAGAGCAAGAGGCATCTCCTCTAGGGACTGCAGTGGTAACCGGTGTGTCTGTAAGTAGACGTCCCCTGAACTTAGCAGCCAAATTAAAAAAAGAAAAACTAGGATGAGAACTTAGAGAGTTTTGTCGAATTGGTGGCATTGGCTGAGCATTTTGAGAGGATTTAAGAGTAAGAGACCACCCCCCACCCCCCGAGTCTAGCAAGCTTATGTCTCTCCAAGTACAGATTGGGGGGTCCTGCACAATTCTGGTATATACTGGGACCACTTTACCTTCCATAAGCTCCACTTTAAAGAATCCCTCAGAGTAAAAAAAATGATCATTTCTGTTTTTGGGGTTTTTCAATCAAGGTAAGAAGTTCCCACTATCTGAAACCATCTAATTGACTTCAGGGACATTTTTAGAAAAACATGCCCTTTTTTTTTTTTTTTTTTTACTATGTGATACTGTTCCAGTAAGCTTTCTGGGTGAGACTGACTTCCTAAATGAAAAGGGCATAAAACATTCTCTTCAGAGGTTTATATAATCTCAGGATTTCCCAACTGTATGCAACCAGAACTACTGTGCTCTCTATAGACAGAAATTGGTAAATTCAAACTCAGGGCTGCAATGCTCTGGATCTTTCTAATATATAGGATTATTTATGAACTTCTTTTTCTACTGATAGAGGAAGGTTAAATGTGTGGAGCCCATTAAAGACTAAATAGATCATTCTAACCCTTTGCCTGAGTTAATCCAAAATACACTAAAGCCTGAAGCAATTCAAGGACTTTCCTCAATTGTAGAGAACTTAAACCAACAGGAACTCGCAATTCCATGCACCAGTCCTTGTGACACTCCAGTCCTATTAGTTAAAGAGCCAACTGGACACGTTTGGAAATGCCTTCAAGATTCTCAAGTAACTTATCAAATTGTGATACTGAGGTTTCTTGTAGTTCCAAACACTAATACCTTCTTGTCAAATATCACTGATTCAAAATGGCACATGCGAATCAGCCTACAGTCTTTTTGACTTAAATCTTGTCAGTTTATACTAAAATGTTTTCACATGTCTATTTAATAAATGTGCTTCACTCAAATAACAGCATCTATATTATGAACTGGCGGTTCAGTTATGAAAACTTAAAAATTACAAGTATGATAATAATGTTTGTATTGTTCATACTATTTTCTGAAGAATTGAACCTGCACCAGATATACTGGCATAAAATAATAAACAATAATAAACATTCTGTCATGAGAAGAAATAGCAAAGACCAAACCACCACCCAACCAACCCATGCAACAAACAAACAAATGAAAAAAACCCAAACAAAACAAAACAAAAATCCAAACCAACCCCCAAAACATAAAACCTAAATGGTACACAGTAACAGACCTTTGAACAGTAACAGACCTTTGCTTTCCTTAGTATCCTTATTGAGAAAGAGGTCCAGTATTTGTGTGTTCTTGGAAAAGTCAATAGAATACCTGGACTGTATCACCCTGGGGCTTACTGAAGCTGCTTTCTTTTCTCCAGTAATTGCATCAGGACCTCACAGTCCTGCAGTTTCTTAGAAATTCTAGTCTCATTCGGTACAAAGATGATTTCAGTGTTACTCTCCCCCACTGAACAGTGCCCTGAAATGGACTCATCTTACCTTTTACAGCAATTTGTACATAAAGATCAGAAGGTTTTGATGGAAAAGTTCCAATTTTTAATTGGAAAAGTCCACTATTCAGGACATGACCCGACTCCCAAAGGGATTTCTGTGTTGCTTGAGAGAACAAAACCTATTCACTTTCCCCTGGCCTACAACCAAAGACAATTAAGAGGTTTTCTTGGACTTGCAGAATACTGCAGTTCTTGGGTCCCCAAATTTCCCCTAACAGCCTTACCATTCTGTGAGCTTACTAGCAATACAGTTCCAGAGCCTTTAATAAGGGAAGACACTTATAAGCAGGCTCTAACTAAATGAAGCTGACCTTACAACAGGCCTCAGCCTTAGGAATTTCAAACTATTCTAAATCTTTACCTTGTTAATTCATGAGTGTAACAATCAGGCATTCTTACCCATGAATGTGGGGGACAACATAGACCCATCTTGCATCAGTCTGCAATTAGACCTAGTAGCTAAGGCATGTCCTAAATATTTAAAACAGAAGCAACAGCAGCCAGATGGGTTTTAGGAAATGAACTTTATATGCAAGTCCAACTTGCTGTGAAAAGTCTATTAATTTCCAAACTTAGCATTTCTTAACAGTAGACTACTAGAAATTGGTGAGATTCTTCTCCTTTCTCCTGCTGTCCATCTAAAATGTTGCAACTTAACCCTATCACTTCTACCTGATGATGGTGAAAAGTACAATTGTATGAGTGTAGGCCGAGAAATAGTGGCTGCTCAGGTTGATTTGTGAGATGCCCCATTGGATAATCCTGAGTTCATGTTTTTTTGCTGAATGGGAAAATATCAGTTAAGGGTCTCCTGTTAAACCAAGATGAGTCAATAGAAAAGGGAACTCTTCCTCAGTGGAAGTTGGATTGGCCTTTAGGGATTTTTGCTTTTACCCAAGTTTGTGAATAGCTAATCTGTAAATGTTTAGCAGAGAGTAGATATGCTTTTTGGAGTAGTCCACAATTTTGGCATGTTGTGGGAACAAAAATGGCTTCTTGCTTCTTGTTGTTGGACCCACATAAAAAATAGAGTCCAAGTAGATGAACTCCTTTCTGATATCCCATTGCCCTTATGGATTGCCTTTGTTAATGTTGAAGCCCCTACCTATGAACTAATCCTGAATATCAAGGAAATGTGGTATCAACTTCCCCAGATGACCTATTTAGTAAAGAGTGCAATAGTACCTGACAAAGTTGGTATATGAAAGGATATAAATTCAATGGTCAGCAGGGACTCATAGAGGGCTCAGTCAACCACCTGGTCCTCCCTGAGTCCTCGAAGTTTCCACTGTTTCAAGGAACAATTTCCCTAACATTAAGCCTCTGTGTTCCCAGTGAGACTGATTCTGAAAACCCAAAAGGGAAAGGGAAGACTGTGATATTGTACATATCACTACTGCTTGGTTTCTTAAGCTGACTGGAAATACTACCCTGACCTTTCTATTAGTAACCTGTTCACTATCAAATATGGAAAACCTATCCAAGTGATGCCTGCAAAAGGTATGTATTGCTAGGTATTGCACAGTCAAGACCAAGGGACTACTTATGTAGGTACAAATAATTGCTTGTATAATGTCACTGAATTAGGTCTAGTAAGGTCCCTTTCTACTAAATGTTGTTATGTACTATTATAGCATGCTATATGGAGACGGCATAAAAGTAAATTTCCATTGGACCTTGTTTAAGAGCTGCATAGACTCATGGGTGAACAAATTTGACTGATTTCTACGCAAACGCCACTAGGTGGCCCTCTTTTCCATTCCCTGAGGGCCTGTATTGGGTCTATAGAGAATTTGCTTCCTGTTTTGCCTCCTTTGTTGGTTTGGATCTTGCCATCTGCCTTGTCTTGGCTTCTGGATAATATTCCATCATCAGAGGGCAAAGCAGTCAGTAACTAAAATTAGTGCCAACCTTGAAATAGATGAAGATAAGTTAGTTTCCACTGAGGAAAGGTTCCCATAGGGTTCCTATGGAATTACTCTGGTCAGCCAGCAGAATCTAGTCATATGGAATTTGAAGCTACTCTGCAAGTTAGGGTAAATCTTGGATTTTGTAGTCAATCAGGTCTCTCTGGCGTTCAGTTCTACTTAGAAGTTCTACTTAGAAGCCATTCTCCAAAAAGTAAATGAGATTATACATGTTTGACACACATTTAGTGGAACATCACGCATCTTTAGATCTCTTTGCCCATGTTGGGGGCTTGTATAATATTTGTGATGAACAAAATTGAATATTGTACCTATTTTTCTTCTGATTTTACTACTACAGAAAACTTAATCTAAAAGGTGGCTGAGATGACTGTTTCTCTAGACGCTACCACTAACTAAATTAGGACATTTCTCAGGGAGAAGGAACTCCTAATGTATTTATGGGAGCAGCTGACAGTTGGTTTGCAGGCATCCCGAAGTGTGGCATTCCAGACTTTTCTAATGTTCACGTTTCTCTTTGTGGATGTCCAGATTACTGTGACCTGTGTTAATACGCTAATTACCAAAATGATACCTCTTAATCATTATCATGCCCTGAAAAAAGACTCTGATCAGCTGGACTTGAGTGTGGCTGAGCTACCTTTGTTACATAAACGTAGTATTGTTTAATTTTGATTAGTTAAGTTTGTGGAGATGCCTGTCAAAGAGTGTACTCTAGTTTCTTAGTATTATCCCCTAATGGCTGTTGTCACAACCTTCTGATCTTTATGCGCAAATTGCTGTAAAAAAAAATGTAAGATGAGTCCATTTCAGGGCACTCTTCAGTGAGAGGATGAAAGACTGGATCATCTTTGTACTGAATGAGAGTAGAATTTCTTAGAAGCTGCAGGACTCGCGTATGTAGTGCTGGGCTGGGACATCTTTGTTAGTGCTGAAAATTACTAAATGAAGTAAGTAGAAGGCTTATTTTATCTCCATAAGTCTAATTTATACTTTCCTCTTCTCCCAGTTAAGGGGATTGTTAGGTCTTCATTTTGGCCATCCTTTAGGCCCTGAGTCTCTTTAATCTCTTCTAAAGAGCTGTGACCAGTTGCCTCAGAAATAAGGATTTGGACTTGGGGCCAGGTGCTTTGACCTTTGAGGTAGAAGATGATGTGACATTTCACCCAGATGCCAAGTCAACAATAAGTATCATGGAGATATTCATATACACAAGGGGTAGAATAAATAATAAGGACATAAACTTCCAGTTCCTCAAAGGAACCCATAAGTTTACAATTGCTGGATCTTGAAACACAGTGTTGATTTGTTAAACAGTGATAGAAAACTAATACAGGGTATTTATGATGCACTGTCACAATGAGTGCCAGTGTTTTAGATATCACAATGTGCATGCATAGGAAAGCATCTTGAAAGAAAAGTGATCGATGCTGATGGCAATTATCAATGGGGGTGAGAGAGTGAGTGGCTTTTACTTTATTCCTCACACTTTCTATATTGTTTGAAAGTTTAGGATAAGAATATGTTACTTTAGGGCTGGGTTGTAGCTCAGTGGTAGAGTGCTTGCCTCTTATGCATGAGGCACTGGGCTCAATCCTCAGCACCACATAAAAATAAATAAATAAAATAAAGATATTTTTTAAAAAAGAATATGTTCCTTTAATAATTGGATGGGAAAATAATGATTTAAAAAATATATCCTAATACCTCAAAGGGTTGTAGTAGATTTCAGTGACATAACTGATAAGAATGTGCTTTTGTAAATTATGTAGTATCATGAAAATACAATGTAGTAAATTTTCCTATGCCCATGATTTCCCCTCCTTACTTAGAATTAATAGGCCTAATGCCTTCAGGTATGTTAATTCCAGAATTTTATTTTAAAGGGATGTCTGGAGCATATGATAATGTCTATGGTATTCTTACCAAAGGATTAATTATAATTATAATGGTCAAATTAGAACAATTTTTATAATAAACTATCACTAAATTTCCCTAAAAATAGAAAAAAATATACCTTATATACCATTTTGAACTTATTTCTTTAAAATTACAAATAATGTGTTTGGTTTCGAAGATTTACAGGATATTATAAAGCAACTACTGAGCACTTCACAATAAAATTCAAGATAAAAATATTTTTTTGCAGGTTAAAAATTAATCAGAAGCTATAAGTAAATTCTAAATATATTTTGGCTATCGGATGGACTTAAAGGCACTTCAAAACTTGTCTAGTTAAAATAGGACATACACAGACATGACACATTTGATGGAGTCCAATCTAGAAGTCCAACGTCAATGTTCATTTCTTACAAATAAACACAAAAATAATTTATCTGGAAAATCTATGAGTACTATAATCAGTTTGATTTCTTCATAAATTTTCTTTTATAAGTTGAGCTAGTCTCTGGAAGGCCTAAAATAGAAAAGAGACAAGAATGGATGAAATCAGGAGACTATTTTGGAAAAGTCTATCCTAATTTAAAAAATGCAAACAGATTACTTATGCAAGGTTGAGATAAGGAGTTGAAAAATCACCCTGGACATCACTTTTCTCTGGGGAGGATGCCTCCAACATCTACTATAATATGTAGATGGAAGCATATTGGATTTCCAGGATAATGGGGGTTCTTATAGATCTCAAAATCAATATTTTCCATTTTATCTACAATGCAAATTGTTTTATATTTTCATATAATTTCTGCCCTGAAAATGTATTTTATACAGTTTCAACTGTCCAACTCTCTTCATATATAAAAGCAGAAATAATTTATGAAAAGCACATTTAATGATAGGAGAAAGCAAGTAAAGAAAGAACACACCCAAAAAGCCCATCTCCCAGGTTTAAGCACAAGCACCTTTCGAAGGTGAATGGCACTGTCAATTTATAGCTCTTCTTTTTTAATTCCAGATGTGTAGCCCTTAGGATCTTCTTTCTTTGCTTCTTTTCATTTTGGTTAAAGCATTACTGAGATTAACTTAAGAATATTATTTTCTTTGACCCTTACTGATGCTATTTTCTTCAGAGAAGGAGAGTGAAGGATATGATGAATTTGTACTTCTCATGCGTGGTAACTTTGTGACGAAAGGAAACGGGTTTTCCCCATGACAAGTTGGGAACTTTCTGGGACTGCTCATTAGGTTCTGAAAGGTTCATCATGAAGACAGCAAACTTGAACTCCAGTTTCGTCTCTTTTATCTACAGAAGCCTAAAGGGAATGTTTAATGGGAGTTCATGACTGGCCCATGAATATCTGCTTTATAGAAACCCAAGAAGACATTGAATACTGTTCTAAATCACAAAGTGAACACATGCACCAAACCCCAGAACTGAGAGCTAGAGTAACTCTAACAGAATATGGTCCTCACCACATCCATCTGCTCTGGAGAGACTGAAGAGAAGGATACTCTGAAGTAAGGGCTAGGGGCCGAGCTGTCGACATAGAAAGCATTTCCAGGAAGCATTAAGACCTAGGAGACATGGTAGGACATCAGTGATGTGCCAGTAAGGAAAGGCTAAGAGAAAACATAGGTAAAACTGTTCTCAAATGGGGACGGACATTTTAGGTTTAAAAGCGGTCGAAGGAATCACAAAATAAAATGTTCACACAAAAACTGCACCCGCCATACAAGAAACAAAATTAGGTGCACAGAAACTGGAAAAATGTTTACCATAAATATGGCCAGTGCCATTTCTTCTCCACATATGAAGAACACATAGAAATGGAGAAGAATGATGGAGAAGAACATTGATAAAATTCTAGTTTTAATGTGCAAAGGACAGAAATGGCGATTAACGAATAAATGCCTCGCCTGACTAGAAAACTAATATAGATTCAAACAATGAAATACCATTTCACTTTATCAAATCTGAAAGTGTTAATTTGTTCTCTTTCCACATTTTTATTGGCGTATTGTAGTTGACCATAGTGACAGGATTTGTCGTCACATATTCATATGTGCACACGGGATAATCTGGCCAATTTGGATATGATTTGACCAATACTGAAAGAGATTTTTGAGCTGGGAAACCTGAAAGATAAGCAGATGTTATCCTGGAAAGAATCAGGGAACAGTGTCTTAGGGAGACAATATGGAGTGTGAATGCTCTGAGAAGGCAAGAAAATGGTGCAAAGAACTGAAAGGAGATACAAGTAAATAAATAAATAAAGTGAAGTATTAAAAATGTTAACCAAGTGTGTGAAGATAGAGTGGGAGAGCAACTGCAGAGACACTCCACCCTTGAGCTGTAGCTCAGCCATCTTTACTTTTTATTTTGAGACAGCGTCTCTCTAAGTTCCCAAGCTGGCCTCAAACTTGGAATCCTCCTGCCTGAGCCTCCCCAGTAGCTGGAACTACAGGTGTGAACTGCACCTGGCACAATTGCATTATGTCAGGAACAGCTCACTGACTGGAGACTCCACTGCCTTTTCATCCTGGACAAACATACTTAATTCCCTAGCCCTTCATTTCCTCCTCCTTTCCTTCCTTCCTTCCTTCTGGTGGGAATCGAACCCAGGACCTCACTCATGCATTCTAAGTACCTGCTTTGCCACTAAGTTATGTTCCCATTCTCCAGCCTCTTTCTAGTTGTGTGTGGTCACATGAGTGAATCATAACCAGAGTCATGAGTGCTACTTCTAGTCCTGGGCCCTGAAATGTTCCCCTGTGTGATCTCCCATACTCTTTCCACTTTGTAGCAATCTTAGAATCCCTATGAAGATTGGGAAGCAACAAGATGGAAGGAGCCAGGGTCTCTGAGTCACCATTGGATTGTATTTGCCTGCAGATTGCAGCTCTGAATTTTATGTCAGTCAGAAATAGGCTTCTGCGGGGTGTGGTGGTACATGCCTGTAATCCCAGGAACTTGGGAAGCTGAGGCAGGAGGATTGCAAGTTTGAGGCCAGCCTCAGCAATTTATTGAGGGTCCTAAGTAATTTAGTGAGACCCTGTATCAAAATAAAAAATAGAAAGGGCTGGGGATGTAGCTCAGTGGAAAAGCACCCCAGGTTCCATCTGAAATAAAAAAGAAAAAGAAAAAGAAAAAAATAGACTTCTATTGTGTTAAGTCTTTGAGATTTTGGGGTTTATAATTTACAGCAATTAATGTTAACTAGTGAAATTATGGCCTTCAAAAACAAAGTTCTGTTTGTTCTTAAATGGTATAAAATTGGGTACTATCCAGTAAAACAAGATGAGCTGGGAGTGAAATAATTTGGGGTACTCTTGGAAAAGGATTTCAAGGCAGAAGATGAGTTTCTTGGTACTGATTAATAAAATATGAAAACTACCATTTCTCCCAATATAGTGGAAAAGTTTTGGAATGGACTAGAAGCAAGGACATGTAAGAGAAGGAAGGAGTGGTAATAATCTCTTTTAAGATGACCAAACTTGCAGGAAAAATGATAGAATGAGATGACCATCATTACCCTAGGTACATGTATGCCTGCACATATGGTGTGACTCTACATTGTGTCCAACCAGAGAAATGCAAATTTGTGCTCCATTTGTGTACAATAAATCAAAATGCATTTCCCTGTCATGTGTAACTAATTAGAACAAACAAACAAAAAAATCGTGTAAAAAAAATGACCAAACTTTGGGCTAAGGCAGCAGTGATAAATTGGAGATTGTTTAGAAAATGTTGAGGAGTAGGCAGCAGAATATACAGAATGAATGAAGAAGAAGAAGAAAAAAAAAAACAAGCAAAGTTAAACATCAAGTCCACATCCTTAGCACTTAGCTCAGAGATACAAACACAGAGACATTAACCGAAGTGCTTGATGATAATGGCATTGATAGAGAAGCAAAGAAAATATAAAGTTGATTTATTATATTAAAATGTATTTGAGAATTAAAATCAGCATGCTATAGTGTAGACACATCAATGTTTACAGCAGCATGATTCACAATAGCCAAGCTATGGAATAAGCCCAGGGGCTGTCCACAGACAAATGGATAAAGAAAATGTGGTGTATACACATGATGGAGTATTATTCAGCCTTAAAGAAGAAAAAAAATCATGACACTTGCAAATAAATGATTGAAACTGGAAAATGTCATGGTAAATGAATTAAGCCAGATACAGAAGGCCAAAGGTTGAATGTTTTCTCTCATATGTGGACACTAGAACAAAATAAGGGGGGAAAAAAGTAGGGACATCATGAAAATAAAAGGGATATCAATGGATTAGAGAAAGAGGATTAAAGGGAAGAAGGAGTGGAATGAAATTGACCAAATTATGCTATGCACAGTGAATTCCACCTTTATGTTACTTACAAAGCACCAATTTAAAAAATAGATGGAAAAATGTATTTGTTTGATATAAATTAATTAAATATATATTAAGTACCTAGTATGTGACACTACTTGGATTAGAATAATGAGTAAAGTGTGAGTCCTGCCCTCAAATAAGATGGATAGAAAGGATAATGACTTTGCTCAGGTGGTCTGTCTCTAGATCTAACCTCTAGAGTCTCTTATACACCAGCTTAGGCACCCTGTCATCCACCAGTCAATTCACTCTCTCCTTTTATGTTTACAAATCCAAGAGAAAAGGCATCTAGAAACAGACCTCTGTGTTTACAAAGATTCAATGACAAACATGATAATGGAATTAATAAATGCAGAGGGATAATTTACCAAATATAATTTATTTGGTAAATTATAAAGCTATACAGAAAAAAAGTTTCCTTTAGAATTGATAGCCTAATCAATGCCCCCAAATGAAATCTCAGCAGATTTAATTATACAAGGGGAGAAAAAAAAATGACGTATGAGCTAATTTTAATTGAAAAAAATCAGGATACAAACTTTTCCATGTAATTTTAGCCATGCAAAATAACCACACGGCCGAAGGTTGCCAAGAAAATCACCATAAGTGGTCACAAAATGTGGGTGGTGAAATGATGGGCTGTTTTTAAAAATTTTCATTATAATTTATGCATTTTTTCACATTTCCTACTGTGAGCACACTTTACTTTCATAATCCGGGGGAAAAAAAAAACAACAACAACAAAGAAAGTCCCTCCATTGGAAATACTAGTGGCTACAACTTAGTAGGTGCCAGGTATTTATTAGTCCAAGTGCTTTACACAGAGAATTCATTTAATCATAGCAACCACCTTTTGAGGGATGGATTCTTACTCTCCCTGAGAGAAAGCACAGGGAGGGTGACTTCCCCCACACCACACGTCCAGTAAGGGGTGGAGCTGGACTGAAACCCAAGGAGTGTGTCTCCAGGGATCGTTCTGAGCCACTAAAGTAATCGTCCACTGAGATGAATGATAGTGTTTCTGTTGACTTAGACCAGCCGAGGAACTATAGAAGCCCACATTTATTACAATTTGAATAATGAGAAAAACACCTAATATCAGACCATTACTTATGAATGGTGGGCAACCAAAATATATCTCTGTTTCATTTTTATTCAAATAAAAGATTACCTTAAAGAAAAAGAGCAACTTTCCTTTAGGGTCCCCCCTTCCACCCACCTCCCAGGTTTACCTCTTTCTTAAGGGCTTTTTCTTTAATCAGTTGTTCTGTGTCGGGAATGCCTTTCATTTTAATCCATAAGAACATTCCGGCAACGGGAACATTCCATTCTGCCAAACCTACAAAAAAAAAAAAAAGGAGAATAAACATCTTCCAAAGGCATTTCGGATGGTATTAAATGTATTGTTCCATGACACAAGTGCAGTGATTATAAACTAGTACTTCCAAAAAAAGTTCCTTCAGTGATAATATTGGTTTTTTATTTGTTGTTTTTGTACTTTGAATTGGACATGGATGCTTTATCACTGAGCTTCATTGCCAGCCCTTTTTATTTTAATTTTGAGACAGAGTCTCACTAAGTTGCTTAGGACTTCAGTAAATTGCTTAGTCTGGCCTCAAACTTGCAATCCTCCTGCCTTGGCCTCCCAGGCCACTGGAATTACAGACAGATGCCACCACACCCAGTAATAACATTTTTTGAAAATATAATTTTATGATCCTTGAAAAATTAATGTTCTAGGTCTATTTCAGAGTCAGTGTAGGGATAAGAGGTAGGGAGAGAGGCTGAATAGTTCCTGAGTATACATGTACAGCTGCAGCCAGGCTTTGTGGAGATCAGGGAACTGGTGCCTCTCTCTCCTTATGTAATTAGGACCACACCTGGGGCAAATGTGTTTGTTTCATTTTAAAAGAGGATTCTTCATCTCTTTCTGGAGTCTTTTGGTATTTCGATAAATCCCATTATTTAGTTTAGAAGTCCAGTGAATTCTTTTTCATCAGAATGCAATTAATTATGAAAAGGAGGGCTTAAAATTCCAGCTTTCTGTTTCCCTGAGTGTTAGGAAACCAAGAAGAAAGGATGATTATTTTGATTTTTAATCACTATCTTAAGAAAACAACAACAACAATTTGCTGTTGGTTAAAACTTTTTCTTCAATATTACTATGAAAATTGGAAAATGGTACTCTTATCAAACAGGTAATAATTCTGTTTTTACCAAGACTTTATAGGGAATGAGATATGACAGAAATAAGGAATTGATATTTTTGGTTTATTATTGTTCTTATCAAAGGCTGCTTTTGATAAGACATTTTTAATGATACAATTAAAGCTGTGTAATCCATCTAACTTTCTTCCGCAATGTAAAGTAAATCTTAAGCTTCTTACAAATTAGCAATAGGTAATATTAGATAAATGAGGCTAATGATTAAAAGGCAAAATCTGTATGTCATGAGAGATCTGCCTTAGACTGTATTATTTGTCGATACAGTTTAGTTAGAAATAGAGTACATTGTTTGGGACAAAATTTTGAAAGAACTATAATATTTTGAAGATGGATGTTATTTAGCTTTAAGTAAATTATTGCTGGTTGATTTTTAGACTGATTTTTTTGAACCAAAATTCTTAGAGCAGACAATTAGGGATGGGGAGAACTGTGCCAGGGTGGTGGGTATAGGATGCTACTTGTGAGATTATTTGTAGGCAACACTTCCTTGGTAAGAACACTGCCAGACAATGTTGCCTCTTTCCCACCAGATTGTTCATTTGCCGTGTTTATCATCCATTCACATGGGTGCTGCTGTTTATCCTAAGGGCAGACACATGTTCCACTCACCACTTAGCCACTTGTCTGCAGCGGCCAATACTGCATCCCTCTGGCTCCTGTAGAAATCAGTGACCCTGGAAGAAGGAATCAATAGCAAGGGTGTGTTCAGTCCATGGGCTGCAGAAACACAAAAAAGCTCTGGAGTTCAGGCTGTAAGAATTTTTTTTTCTATCTTGACTACATTCTTGATAAGGGACCAGAATGTATTTGCATGACCTAACTGGTGATATTTTTTCCTTTATTATGGGCTGATTAGAAAAATGAAAATTAATAAAGCCAAAAGGGTTGTTTCTATGTAAAACAGGGAACGTAGAAATAGCAGGACTGGTCCTTGTGTTTAGGTGTCTCAAATAACGATGGTCATTGGGAGGCTAGGAGAATGCTCAAGATCAAAAGTATACCAGTAGTATACCAGTGCACTCCTCTGTATTTGCATCAGTCATGTATCTCTCATAGTGAATTGATTATTAAATAAAATATTTATGTGTATGAGTAGTTTATCCTCTAAATTGAGGATATAACTTAGTGTGAATTTCAGATTGTCGTGGACATGGGTGGCCCTGGCTCTCAGACCGTACCTGGGATGCTCCTGAGTCTCTCTAGAGAAGAGATACTAACATGCAGAGGCGGTGACTTCTGGGAGACTGTCTTATTGTCTATCTCAGGATACTTAAGGAAGAAGAAGAGGGAATCAGTACTGGCTGCTCCATACCTTGTCCACTGGGATCTTAACATCTTATAAACATCTTAACAAATGATTTGATACCTCTGTACATGAGCCAGGAAGCCCTCTTCTCCCCACTGCTGCAGAAGCTCTAACACCATGAACTAAAAGAGACAGAACGGTAACAAATGTCACGGCTCACTCCCTGAAAGTGTTTGGTTTTGTCAGATGTACAAGTGGATCATTCCTGATTACATGTGTATGCTGGCTGACTTACACCAATCAGTGATTTATAATAAACAATAGTTAATCACATGACTACCACATAGGTCAAAATGAAAAATATTCATATAGTCTTGTCATATGCTGGGCGCTATTGTAACATATCAATAGATTTTGGCTAACTTAATCTTTATAACAATGTCATCATTAGGCAGATTCTTTTTATTTTACCGATAAGAAAAACTGAGGCATTAGGGCTAATTTTTCTGATGAAGTAGTCAGAGAACTCATATTCAAAGACAGACTGTCCAACGCCAGATCCAAGGCATCGCTTACCAGTCTATTGCCTTTTCTCCCCCCACCCTCCTTTTCAGTGGCAAACCCAGGGCCTGCACCTGCTAAGCAAATATTTTGTCAATAACCTGCATTTCCAACCAAAATACACACACACACACACACACACTGTTTAAGATATGTAAGTTCTATAATATTTAGAGATTTTTCTATTTAAAGTGGAAGTTCTAAATGTTATAAATTAATATTGACTCATTGATGATAGCAGGTATAACATGGGAAAAGTCCCTGACCCATTAAAATATGGGGACATCCACACTTTATGGAATTTACAAGACCAAACAAGTGTCCCATAAAATACAAACTTTCAGATACATTTTGAGTTGTTACATAGTAATTCTATCCTTAAAAATCTGATTTTAAAGATTGCGATAATTTTCAAATATAATAATTTCTCAGTGCTTGTGGGAAAATTCATAATTTCTCCCAAGTTAAGTTGACCTTATTTTCATTAAAATGCATTCCAGCTAGTGTCTGCAGGAGACGGCATCTGTGCAATGAAGGCCATCTCTGAGTTACTAAAGAGGTTTGAATTTCATGCTCCCATTGCAGGTTCCAAGACAATAAAGCTAAAGTCAACATTACTTCAAAAATTCAGTTCCATTTTGTTCTGTTTCACAGGCTTTTTTAGAGTCCCCTGAGGGTACAAGATGAATATGATGCCCTGATTCTCAAGACGTTTGGGTTTTTGCTGCACGGCAACACCAGGGTCATTCGGCTCTCATCCGCCTTTTAGGTAAATACCTGGTATCTCATCTTCAAATTCAGTCTGTATTTAGAACCAGATTTAGCAGTGGTGATTTTTCTTCCCTGTCACTTTAGCTTAATCTCATTTGCCAACATCTACTTTATTCTTATCTGATTTTTTAAAACTCCTGTTTCCTAAATGGTACTTACCTGTGAGAAAGTGCAGGGGTGTAGGGATGAAACTTGAATGTGTAAAAGAATTCTCTCTATCAAGGGTTTTGGGCCAGTTAGGAACCCTACCCTCAACCTACACAAAAACAGAAAAGGCTCCATGTCAATCCCGTATTAACAATTAGTACACATCACCTTGCTGATTTCACGAGGAAGAGAGCAGTGACCTGGGCTCAGATGGATCTAGACAATTAAAACATTCTAATAAAACTAAGTTCTTATTTTTTCAAATACAAATTTAAATTAAAGTGTACATGTATAAAATCATGCAAGTCTAGCCAAGTATTTCTGAATATCCTCTTTCATACACTATACTGGACTAGTCGCTCTATGACTTTAGATTCATGGCCAAGCATCTTTGACTACTGAAGATGAATAAAGAGAAAAAAAAGGGCCTATATTCATATTCACAAAGAGACTGGTGTTGATAAGGCAAGTGGAATACAAGCATCTTAAATGAGAAGAATTGTTTGGACTAAACGATACTGAGGCCAATCTCAGGTTAGAGACACAGGACTTACCCAGAGGACAGGACTTTTGAGAAGGTGTCAGCTCTGATGACACGCCCATCAACATCCATGGAAAGAAATGTTGGTTCCCAGGGCTTAAAAGGGGAAGAAAATTACTGTTAATTTATAAACTCAAACTGCAGGGTTATTTGTACAGAGCAGAGAAGGGATGGATTTGAAACCCAATAGCACTACTCTTTGTCTCAGCCCTTTATCATGGAGAAAGAAACATGTGCACGTTCTTTTACTAGCATCTGCCTGTCTTCAAGGCTTTTTTTCCAAACACACGCAGAAAGGCTTCTGTCTTTGCCCAGATGTCATGGCTACGAATTTAGAGGTTTCTCAAACAGGCCTTCTTTGTTCCAGGAGATAAAATCTGGATTAACAGATTTAGAGGAAGGACTCAAGAAAAATTTGTTTGGACAAGATCAACATGAAGAGGGCCAGAAGCATTCAGGATTGTTGAGAGAATATTGATCCTTAGAACCAACTAGAAAGATGGGGGGGTGGGAAGAGGGGAGAATAAAGTTGAGAAACACAGTCAATATGAAATAATGACTTCAAAATTTGCTTCAAACGTAGGTACAAAGAAAGGGGTTTATGGTCATGCTGAGGTAGGAGGGCAGGTAGGCAAAATAATGTTCTGGCAAATCACAGAGAATTTCTGTTTTTTTTTTTTTTTCTCAGTAAATTTAAAGGGAGCACTGAATCCAAGAACATGTTCTCTGCAACCCTGAGAGCAAGTAAAATATCAGATTTGAGGAATCAGGCGTTGGGTAGTCTCCCACTACCACTGTTCGTTAGAAAATAGTAATTGTGAAAAGCACATCTGTGTACAGTGAAAAGGAATCTAAAAGCCCATTATTCTGCAGATATTGTTCAGGGCATAAATGACAGGAATGGCAACTAAGTGGCCTGTTGCCTGAGGCCTCTCTCTGTGTGTAGAATGGAGAGCACTAACTGAGCACACGTCTAATTCTTCAGCTTGAACATGGCTTCCCCATCCTTCTTAGCCCTACCATTACATGGAGGTCGACACCCAAGGTGGAATGCTTAAGGAGCTAGATAGAACACAATTTCAAGTTCAAGACAAGCAGCCTGACTTACTCTGTTCACTTAAATGCATGGTATAGAGAGCCAGTTACTATTTTAAAGGTAAACAATTTCTAGAAAGAGCAGTAATAGAAAAAAATGAAAAGTGCTAATCCTGAGATAAAACTGGAAGACCAAAAAATTAAAGTCGGTAACGAGTTAGTAATAATTCACTAATTTCAGTGCAAAAGTAGACAGTTCTAACCGAGCAGCCAGACTGACCTCAAATGCTGCACAATAACTTACAACTATGTGTCTTCTACAGGCGAAATGAGTTGACATCATCACTTACCTTGTTAAACTGGAGAAAATAGTAAGGATCATCTTCTATTATGAGGAAATCATATTTTCTTGCAAGCTAAAAGGTTAAAGTAATATATTTACTTCTTAGGAACTATCTAAAATTAAAATCATTTGGAATTGTAATTTTTTTGGTACTCATTTGTCCATTCATTTGAGAAGTGTCTGAGGGTCTGCCATACCAGACAGTGAGGATAGAGATGAATGAAGAACTAAAGACTCCTTTTCTTCAGAAACCAATGTCTAGTGGGAAAGAGAATGCATAAGCCAGTGGGCAATGAGCAGAATAATCATTAGATGCGAGCAGAGGTTAAATTCTAGGAACATTCAATATGATCAGGTTTGAGAGAGAGGTAGTTATTCAGGTTGAATCCTTGGGAAGCCCTCCCTGCAAGGTAACACTGGAGCTCAGAATGATGGGAACAAGTTGTGCAAACATCAGGGGAAAGATTCTAGACTGAGGGATGCATGACAGCAAAGATCTTGGGGTAAGCAGAAAGCCTGGCATGTTTAGAAAGAAGGCCAGAGTGACTGTAGCAAGTAGGCTTGGCAAAGATGGTAAGAGAAAAGGCCCAAGAACAGAACTGACCATGTCATTTGGCTTTGCAAAGTGAACACAGGAATTTGGACTCTAACTGCAAGGGAAAGCCACCTGGGACTGGAACCTGAGACTGGCTTCACATTTACCAGGCTCCTGCCCTGCAATGAATGGTCCATTGGTCAAAGACCGAGAGTGAAATGCAGCAGTGTCCTTTTCCTAGTCTGGTGACAGCAGGTGTGGCTTAGGAGATGGGTCTAGGAATGGTAGTGTAGAAAAATGGATGGATTTTGAATGAACACGGGGGTTGAGTTCACAGGATGGACTGGATGTGGGTGTTGGGTGGAGAGAGGGAAAAGAGAGGAATGTAGGCTAACTAACTCTTTGTGGACACACTATTTATGGGGATGGAGCACCTGGAGTGCTTGTGGATTAGAGGTTTGGGGTAGAACTGGGGAAAACCAGGAGTCCCAGTTTGGCCATGTTAAGTTTGAAATTCTATTAGACATCTATGTGGAGATACAGGTAGAAAATTAAGGACAGAAGTCTGGAGTTCAGAAGAAAGGTAGAGCTGAACAATGTGGGAGTCATATGTGGAATGGAATTTATAATCGTGAAATCAGATAAAGCTTTCTTGGGGGGTTAGAGAAACGAGCACAGAACCCAGGAGAGAGCATAGGAGAGTACAAATAATAACAAGAAAGTGTTTTGAAACTATATTTTTCTGAGTAAAAGGAACTGGTTGGTATCTGTCTTATGATTCCACTGAAAATGATTAAATTCTATATAGTTTAATACAATTTTGGTACTTATTTTAAAAAGTTATTTAAAGGGAAAGCTTAGGGAACACAGATATAGAAAAGAGATTTTAAAAACTTCTCTTATTTTTCAAAGATTTCTGTATAGTTCAATAAATTTTGGATATTTTAAAAAATGTTTAGGGTGAAAATCTAGGCATCATAGATACTAAAAGAGATTTTACTAAAAAAGAAAAAAAAAGGAGCATGTCTCTTATTTTTGAAGAAATCTTTGTTACCCAAATGATAAAGAATAGGAAGCAGAAGAGACAAGTTAAAAAACCCAAATTTAAAATAATGAAAATCAAATGTGGGGCCATATATTAAAGGAAAAAAATGAAGTTTAACATCAGGCCAAGAATGTTATTTCTGTCATATGAAACATCAATTAAGGGAAAAGAAAAATTTCATCAACAAAGAACATAGTGATTTCTTGTGTCTAAATTTACTAGAATTCTCAGCATTGGTGAGCTACTTTTATTAAAAATTATCTTCCTCAAAAGCAAGAGGTTAACAAGGAAGGGAACTTGCACATCACTCTTCCAAAATGTCAAACATAAACAAAAGCATAACCACCTAACCCATTTTTCAAAAATACCTCATAGATTTTCTTTTTTCGGTCACCTCTCAGTGAATTTCCAGTTGGGTTGTTGCCATTTGGGACAGTGTATAGAAATTTGGGGGTGTTTTTCTTGGGGTCCTTTGAATCTTCTGGTTTCCATTTGCAAAGTATTTCTGTGAGGGAGTCTGGAATAATCCCATATTTATCGCTGGGAACATTAATAATGTTGCAGCCCAGCGGTAGCAGCTGTATAGCACAAAGAAAGTCCAAGAGTCAGACAAGAACATGAGATGGAAGTGCCACTTTTTTTTTTTTTAATATGAACCAAGAGCATTTTACTTGCACCCTTGAAGATATGAACCTGTACTCAGCTCCAAGCTCTGGAGGGCTGAGGTTACATACTGTAATTCTATTGTCCCTCTGGGGTAGATTCTGTTATTGTCCCACTCTACCTCCTGTCTGTTTGCAGGGGAAGCATTATACTTCCTTGCCCCATTTATGTTTGACTTGGCCATGTGCCTTGCTCTGGAAAATATCTTTTGAGCAGGGGTGAGGGGTGTTCCCTCCAAGCAGAAGTTTTATAAACCCTAGCATGTGATTTTCTACGTCTGCTTTCCTTCTTCTTTAAGATTGGTGGTGTTTGAGATACAAGCTGCTTCTGTCAACTTGAGGCTTAGCATGAAGATGCCATAGGAGAGAATGGCAGCAGTCTTGTGAATCTGTAGTGCGAGGGAAACGAACTTTTATAGCTGCAAGCCAATGAGATACAGGGGTCTCTCAGCATACAGTCTCACAAAGCCTTTTCTGAAGGAATTGTTTTAGAAGTCAGAATTTGAAGTGGTTCTTTTTAAAAATCTTTTAAAGATTTATGTATGACAGCAGAATGCATTACAATTCATATTACACATATAGAGCACAATTGTTCATATCTCTGGTTGTATATAAAGTATATTCACACCAATTCGTGCCTTCATACATGTACTTTGGATAATGATGACCATCACATTCCACCATCATTTCTAACCCCCTGCCCCCTCCCTTCCCCTCCAACCCCTATCTAGGGTTCATCTATTCCTCCCATGCTCCCCCTCCCTACTCCACTATGAATCAGCCTCCTTATGTCAGAGAAAACATTTGGCATTTGGTTTTTTGGGATTAAGCAGGTAACTTTGAACACCTGCAACGATGGGAAATGTGTAACTTACTTAGGCAGTCAGGTAAGGCCAATAACTAAAAATTTCTTATTCTGAGTTGAAATCATTTCCCTGTAGTTTCCACCTTTCAGTTCTGCCCACCTGAGAACATGGACAAATAAATCTAATTCTTCTGTCACATGGCTAACTTACATATTTGAGAACAATTTTCTGTCTTCTCTGTGGCCTTCTCTTCACTTCTGTGGTTCCTATAACCATTCACTATGGTTTCCAAATCCCTATTCATTATGACTATACTTTCCTGTACTTGTTCAAGTTTGTGGACATATCTATATGAAAGCAGAGTGAACCAAAGAAACCTAATTCTCAGTGGTGAGGCAGAGGATCAGACTTTTATTCTGGCTATTATAGTCTCATTCATTTCACAGTAGAGTGGGAAATCCTAAGTATTCCATATTAGTTTGAAGTTATATTAAGTTGACATGCAAAATGGTTACACTTAGGCATACTGCAACAAAAGATGGTAAATACAAAGCAAGTTTTTATAAATTAAGTCACATTTCAAATAAAATATTAAGATGTAATTTGCGCACTCATTAGTGCCTATACATTTGGATTTTAATAAAGAAATGTATGCAGCAGAGGATACATTTAACCTATTTCACATACATCATTTAAGATCCTCTTGTTTACAGATGAAAGATGCTATTTTAGTTTTCAGTGGGCAGATAATTCTCAAGGAGCAAAGCTTTCTTCTAATTACTGTAAGAGAAATGCTGTCGTATAGAAATGTGTACTCACAGCTTGAATGGTTGCTGAATAAGCAGGTTCATTTAGGAGGATGTTGTCTCCAGGATCAACAAGCATTTCAAATATCTAACAAGAGAGGCAGAGGTAAGCTTGGATAATATTATTTTCATGCTCAAAACCCCCTTTGTTGCTTAAGTTCAGAGGACTCTAGAGTTGGCAAATTTTCTGTAAAGATCCATATAGTCACTATTTTGTTGACCATAGTGTCTGTGTTGCAACCACTCATATATTCCTGAATAGTAAAAAAACAAAACAAAACAAAAACCCAGTAAATGGGTGACCAAGTTCTGATAAACCTGTATTTACAAACTTATATGCCAATCTGGGTTTGGCCTTCAAGCCATAGTTTGCCAACTTACATTCTAGGGTGAAAAAGAACATAACTGGCTTGGCTCCTAAAATCCATTGTTTCCCTTTATTGCTTCTTTGAAATGTGTTAAATGCCTACTAGTAGTCAGGCCAGTGTAAGGTTCTGCAGATAAAATGATGAGCAAAAGGACAAGGTTCTAACTCTCACAGAGTTACCAGTCCTCTGGAAAGCTAGACACTATGCAAATCTATATGTGATCACAAACAGTGGTGCTTGCTATTAGGTACAGATGCACAATTGCAGGGCTTGGGCATTTAGGGAACTCAGATAAGGCTTCCCTGAGGAATTGATAAGTTGGTGTCAGGGTGACAATACATACATGTTGAGAAACTGAAAGAATTCTGGGAAGTGAGATTGAGTATCCAGAAGGAGGTAGAGAGAGAGGCTAGGAGAACTGGACAGACACCACACCAAGCAGGCAATCAGGTAAAGGGAGATGGGTAAGAATTTTAAGGAAGGAGTGGGGAGGAAAGCTCACAGATAATCATTAAGGAATGGGCATTCTGGCTGTAGTATGAAAGAAGAAGAGAAGAGCAAGAACATACGGGAAAAAGTTTGGGAAGTTTTTAGGGTGATTAGGGAAGTTACTGCTGGCTCTTTGGGAAATGAAAGCCAACAGGGCATGATTATGGACCACAGGGCAGTGAGGAAAAGGAGTTGTCAAAAAACGATTCCTAGAATTCTGATTATCAAACTGATAGATGGCGGAGATGGTGCTCCTCACTGAAATCCAAAACCAAAACCTCATCCATATCTGGGGGAGAGGATGAGGAGCTCTTTTGGTTTGGTCTTTTAGTCTGGTGGACGATGGACAAATGGACTTGGAAAGAGTTTGGATGTTACTGGCCTATGGTTGATCATACGGTTGTGAACGCAGGAATCCAGCAAAGTGCACAGCTGAGGAGATGATCTGCTCAAGGACTGAGGCTGAACTCCATAAAGTAATGATAGGTAAGCACAGGAGGACCCTGCAAAGATGTGGCACAGGTGAGCTGGAGAACCATGCTACAAGGTTGGGAGACCCAGTGGAGAGGGATTTAAGAAGGTTGGGCTGGTTGATAGTGTTAAAGGCTATTTAGAGGTCAATTATGACTAGGTTTGACAAGTCTTAGAGTTTTTGACCACTGACATCATTGGTCTCAGGCAATGGGTTGTTCCAGCCTATATCAAAAGGGTCATAATAATGACTGAATGGTACACAGTAATCCCTTCTTACCTTGTGATATTTCACAATCCTGTCCTCAAGCCCTTATTCCTATCATTTTTAGCAACCTACATCTCAGAACCAAAAATAGGATCATTTCCAATGGAGACAGGAGATTTGACTTTTGTTCTCCATTTTGGCCTGTGATGTTCAACTTATTTTTTTTTTTCTTATGGAACTTTTAATATCTTAAGACAAACATGTTCTTCTGAAAAGTTCCAACTGACTCAGGCTTTACAGAACATCCTAGGGCCAAAAAAATCACTTAAGTGACTTGTGCATTACTAAAAGACCAAAGAAAAACCTAATTATGTCCATTTTCCATTTCAATTAGGGGACATACAAAAGTCAAATATCCTCAATTAAAAGGGAAGGCTGTTTCTCATCTGACAGCACTGTTTAATAGATGCAGACAGAAACATAGTAGCCCAAAACAACATCCTTCCTGGATAACAAAGTGGAAGAAACATTAAATCAGATCCCTACTAAGGCCCCTGTAATAAGCATGTACACAAATAATCAACTATTTATTTATTAGGCCATTTGTGCTATCTTCCTTCTTTTACGTGACTGGTGTTGTGACAGGTGGAGAAGAAACTGTCTTGAACATCTTTCTGTAGAAAAAAGCTCATCGTCTATCTACTTGCTAAAATAATTTTATTGAAAGAGATTTCTTAAATATGAAACCAGAGAATTATAAATGCTTGTCCTCATGCAAAAGCTCTACCAGTAGCCAATCCTTTTACTTTTTTTTTTTAATAATTAAATACAAAAAAGAGGAAGGAAAAATTGTTTTAACTTCTAAAAATCTTTAAAAGGTATTATTACTACAATCCATTATTCCCTAATAATAATTCAATTAAAATTCACTAAAGCTAACCAGATTACAGTTTTCACAAAATAAAGAAGAAAAATAGCTATTCTGATGTAATATAAGTAACCATAAATAAGAGTCATATTTTAATTTAGATGTGAAGACTGAATATACAGAATCTGTATTCAGGACTGATTATTCATGAAAAAGAAAAGGAAAAAAACCTCAAATAGATGCAACTGATCAGACATGGGTCTTTTTATTGTGAGATCTACCCAGTGGTGATTCCAACTGTTGAGTTCTAAGAACCCAGTAAGGAGGCAGATGGAATAGGTGACAGAGGTAGGGAGAAAGAGAGAAGGAGGGGGATGGAAGGGATGAGAGAAGTTAGAGACAGACATGTATAGCTGGTCCCTGACTTAGAATGATTTGACTTATGATTTTTCTACTTTATAGTGGTGTGAAAGTGACGTGCATTGAGTAGAAACCACACTTTGAATTTTGATAGGGATCTTTTCCTGAGCTGGTGATGTGGCATATTGCTATTCTCACAGGATGTTGGCAGTGGCAGCTCCCAGTCAGTCAGGCAATTGTGAGGGCCAACAGCTGTGTTACCAAGTTATGAGATTCAGCAGGTGTTGTAAATGTACGTGTGACTTTCTCAGATTTTCAATTTACAATGGGTTTATCAAGATGGAGCCCAGTTGTAAGTCAAGGAGTGTCTGTATAAAATCTAGAGAAGTACAGCCACAAGGCAGATAAAATGCAAGCAGTGGTGAGCCTGGGGATTCCATAAATAGGCACCAAAGGAGTACCATTTTCATCTCAGAGGTATGAGGATGTGCCCTCTAGGGAAGTTTGAAATTCTATCAGAATTTCATATATACAGGTAAAAAATAAAATGTAACCCGAATCTTTGAGCCAGATAAAATGAGGCAATGCTCATGAGCTTTTTTTTTTTTTTTTTGGTTTTTGGTAGGAGTTGAGTATTCTTTTGGTGGGGAATCTCTGTTTAATGATTCATAGCTCTAGGCCATTGGTCACATGCTGTGTATTTAAGAAAAATCAGACTGACGAGTGATATTAAGAGCAGATAATTTTTGAAAGTCACAATAAGGGAAATTTACAATAAGGGAAAGAAGAGGGAAATATTGATAGATTAACCTAAAGAATTACTATCTGGCTTTTGTTTATTGGAACCATCCCATATATACACTTTTGTCCCTGGGCTTTGTCTTTGAGTTTTCCGTTTATATTCTAGGTGAAGGTAAGAAAGACTACCAGTAATCTACAAAACATGAGCCTCTTGTGGTTGAGGGAGAGATCGCTATATTTAGGCATATTTGATTCTTGCATGATGGCTATCTTTTCCTTGCAGCCTTACCTTACAAAGACCATCTTGGGAGCCAGATGTGACACATAAATCCATTTTTCCTTGACTGGGTGGATAATGAATGGTGGGAGGATTATGCAATTTTATTTGTAACTGTTTTAGCCAGGATACAAGTTTCGGAAGTCTAAAGTATAAAATGTATTTGTAAATTGGTAGTAGTGAAGTTGTAGTAGTAATAATCATAATGATAGCAGACAGAAAATAAAAGGTATCTTTATACCAAACCCATTATACATTCAACTTAAAAATCCTAAAATGCTAGTGTCAATATTCCCATGTAGAAGATGAGGTAATAGATTCAGAGATTAGAAAATTCACATACTGTCAATAATCAGAAATTCACATAAAGTCAATCATTTAATCAATGAGCTGAGATTTGAATGTACACCTTTCCTATTTGAAAGCATAAGGTCTTTCTTTTAGCTAGAGCATACACTGCATAATAGATTCCTTGTTCTCTTTAGGAAGCTTTCTGAAGACTTCTTGGAAGTTCAGGCTCAGTAAATTATTTGTATCATGGAAAGAAAAGCTTAGGTATAAGTTACATGTAATTCATGCACATTATGTTTCAATATATTCTTCAGTTGCAAAATAAAGAAGGTTCTAATAAAGTCCAATTTATAGATTTCATTAACTGTCTTTTATCCTTGGAAGAAGACCAGGTAGTAAAAGTCTTAAGGTACATATTTCAGCTTGCCTTTAAGAAGTTAGAGATATTTGAACCTTTAAAAGCAATGTATTTGCGTAGTTACCTGTTTAAATGGGGCCCTTATTCAAGATTGCTGCTTCTTGCATTATCCATTTCTTCCTTTCTCCCAATATGCTTTTTCACCTAGCCATCTTTTCAGTTGTCATACTCAGCTCAACTCATACTTCCTTCTAGAAGCTTCTCTGGTTTTCCCAGCCATTTAAGTTTGAAATATAGTGACTGAGTAATGTTAAGTAAATATTTAATATCCCTTTTGTTTTTAATTAGCACTTGAAAATTTTTCCCTGAACCTCCCTAATCATGGAACACCTCATTAAAAAGCAATGTCACTTTATGAGCAGGATATGAAGATGAGCAACCATAAAATGATGTTATCTATGATGACCTACCCAGAAGATGGAGAATACTGAAGTGCTTCCTTCATCATCTCTTCTCCAAACTTGATGGAATTTCCATTTTCTACAGTGATAACAGCACTCTTAAAGGGGAACATATTTGCATTTGGAGTTCCAGCAGCCAGGGAGATGAGTGATTTTGGTGCCTTGCTCACAATATCAGCTAGGATAAACATGGAAGAGAAGAAAGATCGTTATCAATAGAGACAACTTAGTATGCATTATAGTCAACTCGAAAGTGTAACAATTTCTGGTGATAAAATGTGCTGTGGGTGAATGTTAGTGTCCACCCCCTCTCCATTGGTATGTTGAAACCTAATACCCAATGTAGTAATATTAGGAGGTGGGGGTCTTTAGGCAGAGCCTTCATGATTGGGATCAGTGTCCTTAAAAAAGAGAGGGGAGGAAGGCCTCCTTCTGACATGGAGGATACAAACTAACCCCTTTCACCACATGAGGACCCAGCAACAAGGTACTATCTATAAAGAATGGTCCTCATTTGACATGGTGTCAGCTGGCACCTTGATGTTGGACTTCCCAGCCTCCAGATCTGTGAAAGATAAAATTGGTGATATTTTGATGTAGTAGCCCAAATGTATTAAGATAGAATGTCAGTCTAAAGTAAATAGAGAATAACTTTTTCTGGGCTTCCTTGTTGGCAGAGGTCCTGAAGAATGGAGATGATGAAACCGAAGGCAGAGGGATCAGGAATAAGCAACAGAAGACCCTCTTTCGCTTAACCCTTGCCTTCCCGTGTGTTTTGTGGCTCAGCCTGTCTCTCCTATTGACCAGGCCCTCCCAATTCCACACAAATCTGCACTGTGCACACATCTTTCCAGGAAGATTCTTTGTGGCCAGCTCCTCTTCCAAGGATCCCTCCTACAGGAGGCAGCCTGAGCTCCCCTGGGGCTGTTCCTCCTCTTTAGCAGGACTTCTTTGAATACAAGGACTAATGCCTACTTTATTTCTGCGTGCAGAGCCTGGCTCACAGTGAGCCTTAGCAGTGGAATAAAAGGTTGCAACCAAACCCTCAGCTGGAAGAGCACCGTTCTCAGCTCCACCCCGGCAGAAGGGGCATTACCCCGTTTCTCACCCGTGGCTCTGATGGGAGAAGTCTTTCTGACTGCGCTCCTGGCGGTTATGAACCGTGCGTAATTCATGCCTCTGATGGCCAAGCACCCAGCTCCTTCCTTCGTCAGTGGTTCAGGACTAGAAAAACAAAACAGCGCGTCGGGTGCTGCCTCCTAATTCCTCACTCTTGCAACGTGACGTTGTTTGTCCCCGCACACGGTGACCAGAGGACACGGCCCAAACTCCTCCCTGGTGAGGGCCGCGTTCGGTCTCTAGGTCTAAATAGGCCTGGAGAGGTGACAAGATGGGCAAAGTCCACCGCAGAGGGAGAGTCCGCGTGCCAGGTCCTAGGAGGCTGGGCTGGCCGCCCCCTCTCCCGCCCCGAGTCACGGCCTATGGTCACCTGACTCCGCACCTCGGGGTCCCGGGCCAAGACCCTCTCGGCTGGCGCGCAGGACGTGACCGGGATGAGGCCTGGCCGCCAGGCCCTTGCGATCCCGTACCCTAGTCTGAACCCATTCAAACCTTGCAGGACTCTCTTGCGGTTGGAAGTTGCCCCAACACAGCGTCCAGATTGGTGCAGACTTGTCCCTCGGAAGTTAAGAGGCTGGAGGGACCCAGAGGTCCGCCACGATCCTGATCTTTGAGTGCCATCTGGTGGTCGCCGTGGTTCATTGCAGCGCCTCGTCCCTAAACCAAGCCCTGGAGGTCATTTGCTGCTGCGTTCTGGTTGGTGTGCGGGTACCCTGCGTCTTCTCTGCCACAGACTGAGCATTTTACTGGTTCAGACCCTTGCTGTGAGCAATTAGCATTTTTTTTATACCAATAAAACTATGGGCACTATCCTGGCAAATGACCAAGGCGACCTAGATGAATTCCAGTAACACTTTCTCCACAACCATAAAATTGAAGGCCGCTTGTTGACAGGAATTTTTGAAGAAGCACCCAGAATGTCTCTTCAGTGTCACAGTCAGTCCTCTCTCCTGTTGAATCTCCTGACTTTTCATTATGTCAGAATAAGGTTGAAAGTGGTGTTGCAAATGGCGGAAACAAGGAGATGATTCCATGAAACTCTTGATTTATTAACATAAACTGAGAATTTTTTCTTTGGTTCATAATGTTGGGGGGAGCGGGGAGAATGTAAACAAACTTCAAGGGGAATACACTTGATAGAGGAGGTATGTTGACATTTCCAAAATTATTGAAGTAGGATGGAAGCAGGCCTTTGTGGAAAATAAAGTTTAATTAAATTTCAGGAATACCTTCATGTACTTGATTACCATAGCTGAGGTGTTGGTGGGGGAGGCTTTGGAGGTTTTCTCCACTCTAACAGAGGGTCACTTTGTTGCAGCCTGACCTTTCAGCATTGGAGAGGCAGCTGAAAGAGCATAGTTGACTCACCATACACTCCGGGTCTTCAGAGAACCAAAAGTAAAAGATTTAAAGTCATCAAATCATAAATGCAGGTTTTCAACCTTTAAACAGCTTGCTGAATTATTGTCTATTCAATCTGTCCTGGAGTCAGATAGATGAGATGGTGGGGGCCACTGATTTGATTATAATCTGCGTGATGATTCAGGCCAGCTAGGGAGAGCAGATAATGGGATGCCTGGGTACTATGCTATGGTTAGAAAATACAAGGCAGAGCACAGCCATGGTGGTGGGAAAGGAAGTGGCAAGGGTTAAGTGGTGAAGAGCTTACCAGTCAATCAATGCTGCAAGTTGAAGGTAAAATTGATTGTCTGGAAGGTCAGACTTTGGCTTTGTCAGGAGCAACGGAGGAGTTCTCTTAAGGGAACTAGATTAATGAGCAAGGCTCTCAGCTCGGTGCTGCCTCTTTAAAGACTTGGTTTTAGGACTGCCAGAGGATAGAACTAAAGGGGCAGATCTTTTCTCCAAACATTGATCGAATCCTTACTCTGTGCTGAAACTGTCATGAATTTAAAAGGATAACCGAGACAAGTCACTGCTCTTGAAGAGCAAGAGGGGTCACAATGTCCTAAGATACAATGTCTGTATCAGAGGTGGATGCAGGCAGCTAAGGAAAGCACAGAAGGCAGTGATTATGTTTGTGAACCCGAGTTCTCAGTTGGATTAGAAACAAAAGTTTCTTTTCATTTCATCTTCCTCTCATGGTCTTGGTCATGGTCACATGGTCACAGTCTAAAGTCAATCAGGGTCACACTCTGCTTAATTGTCATCCTATACTGCTTTCTCTTAAAACTCAGAGGTCACTGATGGAAAGATTTGTTTGCCACAGACTTTTCACAGTCCTTTCTATAATCTGTGAGGGAATCAAACTTCAGAACACTAAGTTGGTTCTGAGAAATTTTGTTCAAGTTCCCATTTACATACTTTGGAGCTAAGCTGTTAAGATAGTTTGGGAGGTGAAGAGAGATGGAAAGTATGTGTTTATTGGGGGATGGAATGGGAAAGTATATTACCTATTATTATGTGACAAGTTATCTCCAAACCCTGTAGCATAATTAATCTTGTAGGGATGCCACAACGCAGTGGTTGCAGTAGGGATGCAGACTAAGTTGTTTAAACAATGGAAATTTATTTTCTCAACTCTGAAATCTGTTGGTCCAAGATGGAGTTGTTGGCAGGCTTGGTTTCTCTGAAGGCTGGCCTCCTTGACTTGAAGATGGCTATCTTCTCTTTGTGTGCTCACATGGCGCTTTCTCCGGGCATTCCTGCAGCCTCTTCTTCCTCTTTTAAGGACTCTAGTCATATGGGATTAGGCCACATCCTTATGAACTCATTTAATTTTAATTGCCTCTTTAAGTTGTCGGAGATAAGACTTGGTTGTAGGACTGCCTGAGGATAGAACTAAAGGGGCAGATTCTTTCCCCAAACATTTATTGAATTCTTACTCTATGCTGAAACTGTAATGAATTTAAAATGATAACTGAGACAAATTATTGCCCTTGAAGAGCAGAAAAATCCTTCTTGTTCTGCACACCCCACAAGTGTATACACAGATTAATGCAACAAAGTTTTATCTTAAAATTTTGAGACTGCAACAATTCAGATAAGAACACAGCTATCTAGCTGACACCAGCTCTTGCCTCAGTCTCCATGACCAATGAACTGTGTTTCCAAGCAGTTTATGTGACTCTCTCCCTATTTGTGAATAAAAACTTTGCTTACCCTTCCTCTTTCTTTTCCTCCATTTCTTTCTTTCTTCTTCTTCTTCTTGATGATCTCCTCCTCCTCCTCTTCCTCCCTCTTTTTCTTCGCTGGGGATTGAATCCCAGTGCTTCCCACACGCTAGGCAAGAAGAAGACAGAAAGGGAGGAAAAGGAGGATGCTAGGCAAGTGCTCTACTACTGAGCTACACCCCCAGCCCTCCCTCACCCTTCCTTGTTCAGGTGCATCTGTGGCTTGCCTTATTGTGCATCCTGAATTATCATTCTTTTTTGCTTATTTCCAAATATGTTTTTTACGTTTAGAGAGATTTTCTCCATTGTCTGTTTTTAAGCTTGGATAGGCTTCCATAGGTGAATTTTATTTCAGAGATGGTGGGACTGTAAAGGTCGGGCGAACGTCGGAGGAAAAGACCACCAAGAGACTGTCTCATGCAACAGCAAAGGGTTTAATGGGGGTCCAGCATGCTGGGGCTCAGAGCTCACTTCAGAGGAGCAAAGAACAAAGAGCCCCAGGAACAACTTGAGCAGAGCTTATATACATTCTTTGGAGGGAGCAGGGACTTTACATACATCATAGCATCCTTTAGCAAATCATCATATACCACGGGAAAATCAAATAACAACTCTAAAACATAATTAGCACATTCACTGGCGGAAACAGGTCAGGTGGGGGTGATTGGTCAGTACTAAGATGGGTATATATTTAAACTGATTGGTTTAAGCCCTGAGGTGTGTACGTGCGGGACTGCATGGTTTCTGAGGAAAGGGGGTTGTTCTCGTTGAGCAACTAGGTGGTCAGGGGAGATTTCGACACACATCTAATGGGCAGTTGCGGGAATTGTTTTATGCTTTCACAATTTTCAGGTCCCAGGAGAACAAAACTTAATCTTACTTCAGAAATGTGTAACTTAACAGAACTAGAAGAAAGACTTTATAGAATCAAGTTTTATCCTTTACATTTTAGCTTCTTCAACCTTTCATTTTCCCACTCTTTTTTTCTGACTACTTTTAATCTTAAAAGTAATTAATCATATCTATTGAGGGGTTTCACATTCCATTTCTGTCAGTGGAGCATATTGTTGTCTGATTACCATAAGTTTTACTTGTCCAATCTGAGCCTGGAGGAAAGAAACTACACGGTTAAGCAAACAGGGTTCTACAGTTAGCAACAGTATGAGGATGATTAAAGGACCAGCTAGGGCTGATAGGAGTGTAGTTAGCCAGGGGGACCGGGTGAACCAAGACTCAAACCACCCTTGTTGGGTTTCTCTCTCTCTCTCTGGCACTCTTCAAGGCGCTTTCTTAATTTACTCATAGATTCTTTTACAACTCCAGTATGGTCAGCAAAAAAACAACATTCTTCCCTTAATGCCACACAGAGGCCTCCTTCCTTAATAAAGAGGAGGTCTAACCCTTGCCTGTTTTGTAAAACAACTTCAGAGAGAGAGGTTAAAGATTCCTGCAAAGCTGTGATAGAGGTTTCTAATGTCTTTAAGTCTTGGTCTATTGCTGTCTCCAATTGGGCCATTGTTGCTGAACAGGTTGATGGGGATTAGGACTGCTGGTAGTCAGGGGAAGAATCCATAGCCCTATCCACATGACGGACATGCAACTTGAGAGAGTTACCAGTTTGTTCCAGTTTCCAGTCAGAGTCTGGACAGGGCGCAGGCTTGAGATGGGAGGCATGGATCCAGGGAGCGATCCCATCCACTTTCACCGCTGTAGGTGTTATAAGCAGCACCTGGTATGGTCCTTTCCAGCGGGGTTCCAGGGATGACACGTGATGCTGTCTCACGTAGATGAAGTCTCCCACTTGATATTGATGTGGGGTTCCCTCATCTCCAAGTTGGTAAGCAGTGGCCAACTGTTTCCACAGGTATCACTGGGTTTTTTCAAGAGCTTTAAGTCTGCCAAGCAAGGGGGTGTGAAAGGAATCATTAAGTCTCAGAGTTGGGGTTAGATCCCTTACTGGAGGAGGGGCACCATAGAGAATTTCATAAGGGGTGAGGTTACACAAAGAGACGGAGGGAGTATTTCTTGCACGAAACAGTGGGTAAGGTAGGAGCATAGTCCAATCTTTTATGCCGGTCTCTAAGCTTAATTTCGTTAAGGTCTCTTTGATGGTTCTATTCATCCTTTCTACCTGTCCTGAGCTCTGGGGTCTATAAGCACAATGTAACTTCCAATTAATCCCCAGGGTCCTGGCCAATCCCTGACTTACCTGGGCCAAGAACGCCGGTCCGTTATTGGACCCTATTACCTTAGGCAGGCCGAACCTTGGAAAAATGTCTTCTAGGATCTTTTTGACCACCATCTGAGCCGTTTCTTTTTTCGTGGGGAAGGCTTCGACCCATCCTGAAAAAGTATCTACAAAGACTAGGAGATATTTAAGTCCATACCTTGCTGGCTTAATTTCAGTAAAGTCCACTTCCCAGAATTGTCCTGGTCTGGTTCCTTGTAGGCGCTTTCCTGCAGGAAGCTTGGATGGATAAGCATTAACTAATTGGCAGACTTGACAAGCTCTGGTTACCTGCTCAGCTATTTCTTTCCTCTGTGAGTCAGTCAACGGAAAGTCCTTTCTTTGGTCCTTTAAGAATGCCTGTAACTTCTTTGAGCCTAAGTGGGTGAGCTGGTGTACGTCTTTGACATAAAGTAGGGCTTTTTGAAATTGTAAACTTGGCTCTGTGGGGTCCCAGAGTTCTGTATCTGTATCTTCAGATGATAAGTTGCCTGAATGTTTCGGCGTGGCCAAGTCTCCTGATTGTTGTTCCCCCGGTGTGGAAAAAGTTAACAGGGTTACTCTGTTTAGGGCTGCCAATTTAGCTTCCTCATCTGCCCTTCTGTTTCCAACTGCCACGGGGTCATTTCCCTTCTGGTGCCCTGGACAGTGCACTATAGCTAGTTCCTTAGGGCCCTGCACTGCTGAGAGAAGGCGGAGAATCTCATCTTTGTTCTTTATTTCTTTCCCGGCCGAGGTTAATAGCCCCCTTTGCTGGTAACTGGGCATCCCCCTTTATCAGCAGGTATAAAGGGGCAGCCAGAGACGCAAACCCAGGAATCCATAACCTGCAAAAGCCGGCAGTCCCAATAAACTCTCTGAGTTGTCTCTTATTAGATGGGGGCGGTATCTGCACAACGGTTTGTTTTCTGGGCTCAGTGAGCCATCGTTTACCGCCCCTAAGGGAATAGCCCAGGAAGATTACTTCTTGCTGGTAACTTTGGGCCTTTTTGGCAGAAGCCCTATATCCAAGCTGAGCAAGCTCGGATAATAGTGCTTGGGTCCCAGACTCACAGTTCTCCTTGGTGTCGGCTGCCAGTAGTAGATCATCCACATATTGGAGTAGGGTGACTTCGGGGTGTACAGTTCTGAAGTCGTTGAGGTCCCTGTGGAGGGCTTCATCAAAGAGAGTGGGGGAGTTTTTGAACCCCTGTGGGAGTCTAGTCCAGGTTAGTTGGCCAGATGTTCCTGTTTCTGGGTCTACCCGCTAGAAAGCAAACAGCAACTGACTGTCCTTATGTAGGGGCAAACAGAAGTAAGCATCTTTTAAGTCCAGTACAGTGTACCATTTCCACTCCAGATTCAGAGTGCTGAGCAAATTATATGGATTAGGTACCGTGGGGTGAATGTCCTGCACTCTGTTGTTGATCTCTCTTAGGTCTTGAATAGGACGGTAGTCCCCAGTTCCTGACTTTCTTACTGGTAGCAGGGGGGTATTCCAGGCCGATTGACAGGGCCTTAGGACCCCAAGAGCCAGGTATTTCTGAATATGGGGCCTTATCCCATCCTTAGCTTCTTTGCTTAGAGGATATTGTTTAACACTGATTGGAGAGGCAGAGGCTTTTAATTCTACTACTATTGGAGGTTGTTTTATGGCTAGACCTAACCCAGCAGTTTCTGCCCAGGCATCAGGATAATCTATCATCCATTTCTGGGGTAGCTTGCCTGTTTGATCAGTCCTGGGCAGGGTGAAGAGTTGATGTTCATCTTCTACTGACATAGTCAGGGCCGTGACTATGGGAGTTTTTACTGAAGGATTTAGAAACTCCACTTGGGGACCATCAGGGTTAAAGGTTATTCTAGCCTGGAGTTTGGTAAGCAGATCTCTGCCCATCAATGGGGCCGGGTATTCTGGGATTACTAGGAAGGAGTGGTGGACTTTTCCCTTTCCTAGGTCCATAGTCCTGTTAGTTGTCCAAGCCCAATATTTACTGCCATTAGCCCCTTGAACCAGAGACCTTTTATTTGATAGGGGGCCCAGTGGGGTCTTAAGGGCTGAGTATACTGCCCCTGTATCCACCTCAAAGTTTACTGGGGTCCCCTCCACTTCAAAAGTTACCCTGAGCTCGGAGAGGGGATCCGAGCCCCGACTTTCCTAGTCATCTTCTAGAGTCAGAACGGCAGGCTGCTTCTTCCTAGGGCACTCTTTGGCCCAGTGCCCTTTTTCTTTACAGTAGGCACATTGATCTGAGGCCAGGGGCAGCCTTTGGCGTGGGCCCAGGTATCCCTTCTTGTCTCCTTGCTTTCTAACTTCTGGCCTATTTGCTGCTGTGACCAGGACCTTAGCCAATGCTTTAGTCTGCCTTTTGCTCCTTTCATCCTCCTTTTGTTCCCTTTCTTTTTCTCTTCTCTGTTCCCTCTCTTCCTCAGTTTCTCTCTTATAATATACTTTCTCAGCTTCTCTGACTAAATCTCTTAAGGTCATATCTTGTAATCCATCTAAACGTTGTAACTTTCTCTTAATATCTAGGGCAGACTGCCCAATGAAGGCCATTGCAACAGATGCCTTTTGGTCCTCTGCCTGAGGATCAAAAGGAGTATATCTCCTATATGCTTCCATAATTCTCTCTAGAAACATAGAGGGAGACTCATTAGGCACTTGGATAATCTCTCTTACCTTGGCCAAATTAGTCGGCCATCTGGCGGCCGCTCGGAGACCCTCTATTAGAGCCCGGCGATAAGTGGACAGATGCTCCCTACCTTCAAAGGTGTTAGGGTCCCAGTTGGGTCGGTTTAAGGGGATGCTGGCTTCAATGATGTTGGGAAGTTGGGTTGGTCGCCCATCTGGTCCGAGAATATTCTTTCTGGCTTCCAAGAGGATTCTCTCTCATTCCTCTGTCGTGAAGAGAGTCCCCAGGAGTTGTTGGCAGTCATCCCAAGTGGGCTGGTGTGAAAACATCAGTGACTCAACCAAACCTGTGAGCCGGGTGGGGTCCTCAGAAAAAGGGGGATTGTTATTCTTCTAGTTATATAGGTCTGAAGAGGAAAAAGGCCAGTACTGGTAGGCTTGCATTTCTCCCCCATGGCCATCATCAATCATGGGCCCGTAGGGATGGAGGGGGAGGATCACAGCTTCAGGGTTTTCAATCATTAGCCGCTGGTGGGTTCCTTTAGCCGGCCCAGCTTCCTCCAGGGGAGGAGGGGCTGGGGCTGCTGCGGGGAAGTCCTCTGGAGGGCACGGGTCTGGCCCAATTGCCTCCAGCGGTGGAGAGGCTGAGTCAGCGGTGGGAGGATCATTTGGAGTGTGTTGGGGGTTGGGGAGCGAGGGCAGGGGATAAGGAGGGGGAGGAGAGTCCAGTAAAGTTAAATCTTGTGACTCAGGGAGAATGGAGGGAAGAGGGGGAGGAGCAGAGGGTTTGAGTGATAGGATCATGGGGGAAGGGGTAGGAGTGGGGGCAGGGACAAGGAAAGGCTTCACCCATTCAGGAGGAGATTCGCAGAGGTCCTGCCAGGTTAAGATATATGGCTGTTGATCTGGGTGGCCACGTGGTCCCGGCTGAAAGACAATATTTCTTACTTTTCGGATTAGAGGGAAGTGGAAGGATCCTTTTGGGGGCCATCCGACTCTGAGGGTGGGCCATTCTGAAGTACAGAGAGTCTGCCAGGTCCGGCGTTTTACTGAAAAAGAAAGATTCTGGGCCCTTGAGCGGACTTCAGTCCAATGATCAAGGGTCAGGGACAGAGGCGTGGAAGTGCTTTGTCCCATAATGGGAGATACACAAACGGTGAAAGTAACGACACAGACAATAAAGACAAACAGTAAACGTTCAACACGAGTCCGAGACAAAGACCAGAACTGAGTAGCTGGCAAAACCTGATGGGCTGGCAAACCAAATCCGAAGCAAAATATAACAGAGTCAAGGATACTACTGTTCCTCGATTTCCCGAGTCCTCTGGAACGTCCCCCAGGGACGTGGCCTGTGGCTCTGTGACACGTCTGTCAGCCACCGTCGGAGAGAGCTCACGCTCTTCACCGGCAGCCACTTTGCCAAGCCCTAACCTGAAACCCGAAACCAGAAAGAGGCGCCTTACTTACCCCAAGAGGAGTCCATTGGGGTCTTTCGTCCGCCGCTGCCGGATATCTCGCTGGGGCCTCCAGATGTAAAGGTCAGGCGAACGTCGGAGGAAAAGACCACCAAGATACTGTCTCATGCAACAGCAAAGGGTTTAATTGGGGGTCCAGCATGCTGGGGCTCAGAGCTCACTTCAGAGGAGCAAAGAACAAAGAGCCCCAGGAACAACTTGAGCAGAGCTTATATACATTCTTTGGAGGGGGCAGGGACTTTACATACATCATAGCATCCTTTAGCAAATCATCACATACCACGGGAAAATCAAATAACAACTCTAAAACATAATTAGCACATTCACTGGCGGGAACAGGTCAGGTGGGGGTGATTGGTCAGTACTAAGATGGGTATATATTTAAACTGATTGGTTTAAGCCCTGAGGTGTGTACGTGCGGGACTGCATGGTTTCTGAGGAAAGGGGGTTGTTCTCGTTGAGCAACTAGGTGGTCAGGGGAGATTTTGACACACATCTAATGGGCAGTTGCGGGAATTGTTTTATGCTTTCACAATTTTCAGGTCCCAGGAGAACAAAACTTAATCTTACTTCAGAAATGTGTAACTTAACAGAACTAGAAGAAAGACTTTATAGAATCAAGTTTTATCCTTTACGTTTTAGTTTCTTCAACCTTTCAGGACACAATTTAGTTCATAAAAATACTGAAAACATCAAATATTTATATTATCATTTTCATGGGGCAGGAATTCAAGAATCACTTAGTTGACAGCTGTGGTATAGGACATCTAAAGAAGTGGAAGGCAAAATATTGGTTGGAGTTGTAATCATCTGAAAATTTGATGGGATTGAGGGGACTGCTTCCAAAGTGCTCACATACCTCATATATTAGCTTCATACAGCTGCCATAACAAAGAACCCAAACTGGGAGGCTTAGAACAATAGACAGTAATTGTTTCACATTCTGGAAGCCAGAGGTATAAGATAAGGTGTCCTCAGGGTTGGTTTGTCCTGAGAACTGTGAGGAAGTATCTCTTTCATGCTTGCTTTCAATCTTTGGCATTTGTAGGTTTATAGTTGCTCTAATTTTCACTTTTGTCTTCACTTGCTGTTTTCCCCACGTATGTCTGTGTTTAAATTTGACCCCCTTGTATGGACGCTAGTCATATTGAACTAGGGCTCACCTCAATGACTTAATTTTACTCGATTATCTCTGTAAAACTCTATCTTCAGATAAAATCACATTCTGAGGTAATAAGACTTAGGATTCCAAGACACTATGGGGGGAGTCATTTTTTGGGGGGGGAAGGGGAGACATGATTTTATCCATAACCCATGACTACTGGCAGAGGACCTCTTGCTGGCTATTGGTAGGAGGAATGGGATGCTGTCCACAATATATCTCTGTGTAGGGATGCTTGAAGGTCCGTATGACATGGACAGCTTATTTGAGAATATCTTTGATGACCTACTCTCAGAATCTATTCTTCACTATTCTGTCATATTCTCTTCATTATAAATGAGTTGCTAAGTCTGGTCCACGCTGAAGGGAATCAGTTTCGTCCTTTGAAAGAAGGAAGGCCACATAATTGGGGACATATTTTGAAGCCATAACTGAAGCAATCCAGGGTTAGATCAGTCAGAAATATTAGTCAGAGTAGTGGCGTGAGAGTAAAGTAGGAATCACATCATGGAGATATTGTCATAAATGCCAGCGTCAGACATTGGGACACTCAAGAAAGGACATATTGAGTGAGAGGGTGGGTATCTGCAGTTGGTTATCAGTCACACTAAACAGAAGAAAAGTTGCTACATATAGAATCAGAGAAAGAATTCTCTGGGGAAGATAGTTGTACCAGCAAGGCTGCCTTTCTAATTTCAGATATTCTACTTTTCATTTCTATATTTTCTCTTTGGTCCCTCACAAAGTTTCTACATTTACAATTGACATTTACAACCTTTTCATTCTTCGTGAGTCTATCTTCTAGGTTAATTGTAATGGTTTCTTTAACATGGTTACAATAGTTGCTCTGAAATCCTTGCCTGCTAATTCAAACATCTGGGTCACATGTTTGAAGGGTGAACCAGAAAGAAAAAGAGTTCTTTTTCTTTGCTTTTTTCCTTGAGACTAACTCATATTTTCCCTGATCCTTTATATTCTAAGTAATGTCATGAATTTATCATGACATTGAGACTGTTATGCTGTAGAGACTCTGAATTCTGTTATATCCCTCCAAAGAGTGTTGAGGATTTTGATCAAAGAGTAATTTCTCTCTCAAGTCAGATCAGGTCTTTCATCTTTAGCTGTATTCTCTTTAGTCTTTCCTGTGCATGCATTGATGATGGATCAAGCAGGAAGTGGGACAGTATTAATATACAGAATTTGGGATGTCTTTTCTCAGACCCTCTGTTTTTGGGGATTTCATCATCCATTTTTCAGTGCCTGTGGTTGCCTTGAACACTGTCTTTCCTTCTTTAGGCCAGAGACACTGTGGATTTTCTATTAGGGTTAGCTTCTGCTAGGTGTTGATTTTGGCTATTCTCAGGTGGGAAGGTGTAAAAAAAAAATTCCTCTTCCAAGTATAGATTGCCTGCAGATTCTGTGTTCTAGTGTTCACTTTCCAGAACCTTCAGCTTTCCTTTCGTCTCCGTTCTCACCCACCCTTCTTTCTCTCTCTCTTCCCTCCTACTTTCTATTTTCCTTCTTGCATTTTGTGCATGACTTAAATTCGTTGTCTGGGGGAGATATGAGTGCACTAGAAGCACATTTGATCATAGCCCAGATGGCAACTTGTGGATACGTCTTCTTTAAATGGATCCGAGGCAGCGTGGTATAGATAATGGTTATGGCTTTGGAGTCCAGACTGCCTTGTTTTAAATAGCCTTCCCACTTACAAGCTATGTGTATGGGCAAGTTACTTAACCTCTTTATATCTAAGTCACCTATTATGTAAATAGGATAAAAATGTTACCTATTTCATAGGATTATTATAGATACTAAATGTACATAAATTTGCTTTATGGCCTATAACAAGTGCCCCATAAATGTTAGCTGCTTTTATTCTTGCTATTATTAGCAATATTAATAATGTAAAGAGGGACAGCTCAAAATATTCAGAGAAATCCAACTTACAAAGGAAAGAAAATCCTACTTAAGAAGGATTTCTCTCAAGACCAAGGGGACTATATCCACTGAATTGAAAATAATTACTGAGTACTTAGCATCAAGTGTAAACTGTGGGTTGAATTTACTAAGACCAATAAATACCACCCATTCTTTATGAGCAAGTATATGTATGTGTATTCAATGAATATGAAAAATCAAGAGATTATGATAGGGACAATGAGAAAAATATAAAGTACATGGCCCTAGTACATACGTAAAGCACAGAGATTGGAATGATTAATTTTAAAGGAAATACTTGTTTCTCACTGAACACATGAATTTTTCATGGTCTGAGAGAAATTTAAGTTTCAGAGAACCAATGTGACTGAAGAGTATGCTAGGCTTAAAATCTAATAAAGAGAAGTGTGTGATTTTATATTATTTAGCCAACTATTAGACATAATAGAAACTCAGAAAAGTAAGAGCTATTTTATGCCTTCTTTGCTGGGAGCCATTAGCCAAGTAGGTATGACAATTTCCTTGCCAGCGTACCCCATGTTGCAGTGACATTGAATGTACATGACCTTGCTCAAGGACCAAGGCAGATTAGGGTGTTCCCGGTTTTAAGATAATCGTGTTTAGGGCGTTCCCAGTTTAGGTTCCAGGTTTAAGGTTTAAGATTATTCCTGCTGGGAATAGGGCGTATCCTGCTGCCTGAGTTCCCCTTGAGTTCTCACGGGATTCAGACAATATATTTTGGAGATAGAAGCCCAGTGGAGGTGGATTTGGGCAGAGAACGTGGATTTGGGAAGAGAACGTGGATTTCCCCAGAACGTGATTGTAGACGGCTGGTGTGAGTTCGGGAATAAAGAGTTGCTGTTTGAATCTACAAGCTGTGTGGTGGCTCGTGATTGTGTGCCCAGCCAGACTGCGGCATTTGTGCCCAGCCAGACTGCGGCATTTGGTGGCCCGTACGGGGAACTTCTGAAGCTTAGAGGTAAGTGAAATTTCTCACCCTGAAGAAGAGCGAAAGAATGGGTGACCAATTCAAAAAACAATGTGTTATTGTTTTGATTTATTTTGTTTTTATTTCAAGTTGCCTGTTCCTAGAACTTTCTCAGGCAAACTGGGGAAAATGGTTGACTCAAGGTTTGAAGTTGTTCGCCTCCGAGCAAGAGAAATTGTTAGAGGAAGGAGGCACCCCAGTGAGACCAAGAACAATTAGGGCATATGTTGATACAATACAAAAATGTAGCCCATGGCTTTTTAAAGACAAGTTATTAAGTATATCAATGGGACCATCATGGTATCCTGTAGAAGGATTTTTCTTCAACAAGAAAGAGATGGCTAGTTCTGTTTACTACACTTGTCTAAGATCTTGGTTTTTACAGACATCTGATTAATTTACAAAGCTAAAGTGTTAAAATATCAACCACTAAATATGAAATCAAGTACTCTTTACTTATTAAGTTCCATAAGGTAATATATTTAAACATTATGTGTGTTTTCATAAATTGGTAAATGGAAAAATGTTTAATATTGCTTTGTGTCTGTGTCTTTGCTGAAACAAGGTTACT